GCGCGGTGGCTCAAGCCTGTAATCCCAGCACTTTGGGAGGCCGAGACGGGCGGATCACAAGGTCAGGAGATCGAGACCATCCTGGCTAACACGGTGAAACCCCGTCTCTACTAAAAAATAAAAAAAAAAAAAACTAGCCGGGCGAGGTGGCGGGCGCCTGTAGTCCCAGCTACTCGGGAGGCTGAGGCAGGAGAATGGCGGGAACCCGGGAGGCGGAGCTTGCAGTGAGCTGAGATCCGGCCACAGCACTCCAGCCTGGGTGACAGAGCAAGACTCCGTCTCAAAAAAAAAAAAAAAAAACAACTTCCAGAGAGCAGCCAGTGCAGGGCGGCAAACAGCAGGGACTGAAGGAAGGAAATGTATTCAGCGTCTCCCTACAAAAGGCTCTATGCTGCTCCTTTACCTGGGTTATCTATTTGAATTACATTTAAGAAGGGGCAGTGGCTTACACCTATAATCACAGCACTATAGGAGGCTGAAGTGGGCAGATCACTGGTGCCCAGGAGTTCGATACCAGCCTGGGCAACATAGCAAAACCAAAATACAAAAATCAGCTAGGCGTGGTAGATTGAACCTGTAGTCCCAGCTACTCATGAGGCTGAGGCATGAGAAGGTCCTGAACCTGGGAGGTGGAGGTTTCAGTGAGCCTAGACTGCACCATTGCACTCCAGCCTGGGCAACAGAGCAAGACTCTGTCTCGAAAATAAATACTTAAATAAAATTTTTAAAATGAAAATAAAAGAATTGTTTCTATAAGGAGTAAGGAAAGGATCCAGTTTTGGCTTTCTACTTATGGCTAGCCAATTTTCCCAGCACCATTTATTAAATAGGGAATCCTTTCCCCATTTCTTGTTTCTCTCAGGTTTGTCAAAGATCAGATGGCTGTAGATGTGTGGTATTATTTCTGAGGATTCTGTTCTGTTCCATTGGTCTATATCTCTGTTTTGGTACCAGTACCATGCTGTTTTGGTTACTGTAGCCTTGTAGTATAGTTTGAAGTCAGGTAGCATGATGCCTCCAGCTTTGTTCTTTTGACTTAGGATTGTCTTGGAGATACGGGCTCTTTTTTTCCTTACTCCTTATATGAAAATTAATTCAAGATGGATTAGAGACTTAAATGTTAGACCTAATACCATAAAAACCCTAGAAGAAAACCTAGGTAGTACCATTCAGGACATAGGCATGGGAAAAGACTTCATGTCTAAAACACCAAAAGCAATGGCAGCAAAAGCCAAAATTGACAAATGGGATCTAATTAAACTAAAGAGCTTCTGCACAGCAAAAGAAACTACCATCAGAGTGAACAGGCAACCTACAGAATGGGAGAAAATTTTTGCAATCTACTCATCTGACAAAGGGCTAATATCCAGAACCTACAAAGAACTCAAACAAATTTACAAGAAAAAAACAAACAACCCCATCAAAAAGTGGGCAAAGGATATGAACAGACATTTCTCAAAAGAAGACATTCATACAGCCAACAGACACATGAAAAAATGCTCATCATCACTGGCCATCAGAGAAATGCAAATCAAAACCACAATGAGATACCATCTCACACCAGTTAAAATGGCGATCATTAAAAAGTCAGGAAACAACAGGTGCTGGAGAGGATGTGGAGAAATAGGAACACTTTTACACTGTTGGTGGGATTGTAAACTAGTTCAACCATTATGGAAAACAGTATGGCGATTCCTCAAGGATCTAGAACTAGATGTACCATATGACCCAGCCATCCCATTACTGGGTATATACCCAAAGGATTATAAATCATGCTGCTATAAAGACACATGCACACGTATGTTTATTGCGGCACTATTCACAATAGCAAAGACTTGGAATCAACCCAAATGTCCATCAGTGACAGACTGGATTAAGAAAATGTGGCACATATACACCATAGAATACTATGCAGCCATAAAAAAGGATGAGTTTGTGTCCTTTGTAGGGACATGGATGCAGCTGGAAATCATCATTCTTTTTTTTTTTTTTTTTTGAGACGGAGTCTTGCTCTGTCGCCCAGGCTGGAGTGCAGTGGCCGGATCTCAGCTCACTGCAAGCTCCGCCTCCCAGGTTTACGCCATTCTCCTGCCTCAGCCTCCCGAGTAGCTGGGACTACAGACGCCCGCCACCTTGCCCGGCTAGTTTTTTGTATTTTTTAGTAGAGACGGGGTTTCACCCTGTTAGCCAGGATGGTCTCGATCTCCTGACCTCGTGATCCGCCCGTCTTGGCCTCCCAAAGTGCTGGGATTACAGGCTTGAGCCACCGCGCCCGGCGGAAACCATCATTCTTTGCAAACTATCACAAGAACAGAAAACCAAACACCGCATGTTCTCACTCATAGGTGGGAGCTGAACAATGAGATCACTTGGTCTCGGGAAGGGGAACATCACACACCGGAGCCTATCATGGGGAGGGGGGCTGGGGGAGGGATTGCATTGGGAGTTATACCTGATGTAAATGACGAGTTGATGGGTGCTGACAAGTTGATGGGTGCAGCACACCAACATGGCACAAGTATACATATGTAACAAACCTGCACGTTATGCACATGTGCCCTATAACTTAAAGTATAATAATAATAATAAATAAATAAATAAATAAATAAACGTAAAAAAAAAAAAGAATTGTTTCTATACACTTGAAAGTATGATACAGCATACTGGAACATGTCAAGACTATAAATTAGGAGACCTCAGGAACAGCCTCAAATTAGTGTCAGTCTAACTGTGCAACCTTGGGCAAATCACTAATGTCTCCGGATCTCAGTGTCCTCGCCTACAAAAAAGGTAACTTGGACAAGATCACTAGTTTTCAAAGTGCAATTTGCATATTATCAGTGGCACAAGATACAATCTTAGGTGGCTCACAAATGGATAGGGGTTATTTTGACAGATATGCAATTTTAAAACATTTATTAGCACATGAAACCCATGATATCATAAGTGTTATTGTTTTTGTTGAAAATTTTTTAAGTTAAAGAAAAATACGGCCAGGTGCGGTGGCTCACGCCTGTAATCCCAGCACTTTGGGAGGCCGAGACGGGCAGATCACAAGGTCAGGAGATCAAGACCATCCTGGCTAACACGGTGAAACCCCGTCTCTACTAAAAATGCAAAAAATTAGCAGGGCGTGGTGGTGGGCACCTGTAGTCCCAGCTACTCGGGAGGCTGAGGCAGAAGAATGGCGTGAACCCGGGAGGCGGAGCTTGTAGTGAGCCGAGATCGCGCCACTGCACTCCAGCCTGGGTGACAGAGCAAAGACTCCATCTCAAAAAAAAAAAAAAAAAATTAAGTAAATAGAGGTGCTGAAAGGATATGACAAAAATGGAAAGTTTGCTGCTCATTAAATCGTTTTAATATCCAAGACTCTTTCCAGCTCAGTTATTCTTTTTTTTTTTTTTTTTTTTTTTTTTTTTTTGAGACGGAGTCTCACTCTGTCGCCCAGGCTGGAGTGCAGTGGCCGGATCTCAGCTCACTGCAAGCTCCGCCTCCCGGGTTCACGCCATTCTCCTGCCTCAGCCTCCCGAGTAGCTGGGACTACAGGCGCCCGCCGCCTCGCCCGGCTAATTTTTTGTATTTTTTAGTAGAGACGGGGTTTCACCATGTTAGCCAGGATGGTCTAGATCTCCTGACCTCGTGATCCGCCCGTCTCGGCCTCCCAAAGTGCTGGGATTACAGGCTTGAGCCACCGCGCCCGGCCTCCAGCTCAGTTATTCTATAGTATATCAGATAGCAAAGAAAATTTTAAGAATGAACTAGGATCAGCAATATGCAGTTATGGTAGAAGCTGTACCCCCAAAATCAGAGTGCTGGACTTCAGAAGAATACCTTTAACTTCATTAAGTCCTTGACTCTCTTTTTTGACCACAGCGTTTGCCTGCTACTGAAATCTCTAGGGCAGGAGCATGGTGACTTCTACGTCACCATCCAACCTACCCCATGCAGCATTCTCCATCGACAGCCCTGCCCCTTGTCCCTGTCTCCCTGGTGACACATAACAAAGGCCATCAAGCTCCCAAATCTTCAACTCCATCCTCTCCAAGAAGGACCCCAAAAGCATTTGTGTCCCAGCAACTGTGAACTTTTCCAGGTTGCCAGACAGAAATTTATCTAATGCTGGTCAAGACCCACCTGGTTGAATACTAGAAAAAACAATCCCTGTTCACAATTTATTGCTATATCTACTTCATCTATCTTCTCTCCTCCACAAATTTCTCCTTTTTCTTTTTTTTTTTTTTTTTTTTTTTGGAGATGGAGTCTTGCTCTGTTGCCCAGGCTGGAGTGCAATGGCAGGATCTCAGCTCACTGCAACCTCTGCCTTGTGGGTTCAAACGATTCTCCTGCTTCAGCCTCCTGAGTAGCTAGGATTACAGGCGCCCGCCACCACACCTGGCTAATTTTTGTATTTTTGGTAGAGACGGGGTTTCACCATGCTGGCCAGCCTTTCTTTTACTTTTAAAAGAGGAGGCATGAAAACTTCACAAAGTAGTTTGCTTCCAGACTAAGAAGAAGGGAGGCTGGGCGTGGTGGCTTATGCCTATAATCCCAACACTTTGGGAGGCTGAGGCGGGCGGATCACCTGAGGTCAGTAGTTCAAGACCAGCCTGGCCAACATGGTGAAACCCCGTCTCTACTAAAAATACAAGAATTAGCCGGGCGTGGTGGCACACGCCTATAATCACAGCTATTAGGGAGGCTGAGGCACAAGGATCGCTTGAACTCAAGAGGCAGAAGTTGCAGTGAACCGAGACCGTGTCCCTGCACTCTAGCCTGGGTGACAGAGTGGAGGCCACATGCATCTGTGGTCCTGAGAAAACGCCCTTGGGCCCATTTTCAAAAGCCTGCTGGGGAGAAAGCCTGTTACTCCTCCACTGAGAGTCTCAGACCCATCTCAGATGGGGACAGGGAAAGGCGCAGGTGAACCAAGCCCAAATCCCAGACTTCCCAGCTACCTCCTGAACCTCATCAGCCCAGAGCTCCCAAAGGACCCCAGTTACCTCAGAACAGCTCCAGAAACTGACGGCTGTTTGCTTAGTGCCCCAGCATCTGTGCAGAGCACCAGAAAAGCTCACCAACTGCTTCAGTTCCTGTCTGGGTAGGTTTTACTTCCCTCCAGTGTGCACCCGGGATCCGAGGACAGGCAGGGGAGAGGGGCTCTGCAGCGCTGAGGCAGCCGGAGTGGCAAGTGTGTGGTTTACATGCATGCTTGCTGTGTGCATTTGAGTTTGATGTGGGGGACTTGTGTGCATGCTCATGCGGGTGTTTGTGTGTTCGTGTGTGTTTCAGTTTATGTGCATGTGGTTTTTTTTTTTTTTTTTGTAGACAGAGTTTCACTCTTGTTGCCCAAGCTGGAGTGCAATGGCGCAATCTCAGTTTACTGCAACCTCCGCCTCCCGGATTCAAGCAATTCTCCTGCCTCAGCGTCCTGAGTAGCTGGGATTGCAGGTGTGTGCCACCATGCCCCACTGATTTTTTTGTATTTTTAATAGAAATAGGGTTTCACCATGTTGGCCAGGCTGGTCTCGAACTCCTGACCTCAGGTGATCCGCCCAGCTCGGCCTCCCAAAGTGCTGGGATTACAGGCGTGAGCCACCATGCCCAGTGCCATGTGGGTTTGTGTTAGAAGGAGAGTGTGTGTGTGTGTTTGTGTGTGCTGTGTCTTTGAAAGGTCCACAACATATTAGTTTTAGAAACAAGCACTGCAAGAGGCACTCCAAAATCTGTTCCTGAACTCTGGGAAGTTCTTCTTCAAAATGTGATTGTGGACTGTCGGGCAACCCACTAGACAGAGGATAAAAAGTAGCTATCATAAAATACATGTTTTAGTGGGGGAATCAGGGATGTGACAGGACAGTAGAGGGGGTAGTACGTGGGAGACAAGAGCTGGGTCGTGAAAAGGACCAGCAAGAGCAACGCTCCGAGGGACAAGTGGAGCAGACAAGGCTCCTGTGCCCAGGACGGTCAGAATCAGACCTTGCTTTGTACCTAGCCTTAGCACTCTAGCAGTGGGGCCTTGACCAAGTTGTTTCAACTCTCTATACTTCAGTTTCCTCATCTGAAAATGTGGATAATATTGTCAGAGGGTCCATTGTGAGAATTAAAGGAAGAACACATGCAAAGTACCTGCCACATAGTAAGCTCTTGATAAATATTAGCCGTGACTATTCTTAGAAGTAACTATTGGGATGCGTCATCCAGGCCAATTAGAAATGCAGACATGGGAGGCTACACCAGGGACTTCCGTGATACACGCATGGTCTAAAGACTCGATTGCACCCTACTCCTCCCCAGTCCCACTCAGATCTACCCCCAGACCCCAAATCTACCCTCCAAAGCCCACAGCACTTTCAGTTCTGCAGCTCCCATACATCTGGAGCCTTGGTGCTCCTTTTTGTCATTTTCTCCAAAAAGTACCAGGGTCATTCATCTAATAAACAGGAAGAAATCCGAAAGTAAAAACACAGAGGGGTCAAGGATTCCCTCATCAAGAGTTCAAGACTAGGCCGGGCTCAGTGGTGCATGCCTGTAATCCCAGCACTTTGGGAGGCTGAGGCGGGTGGATCACAACATAAGGAGTTCGAGACCAGCCTCTACTACAATACAAAAATTAGGTGTGGTGGCGTGCACCCGTAATCCCAGCTACTCAGGAGGCCGAGGCAGGAGAATTGCTTGAACCCGGGAGGCGGAGGTTGCAGTGAGCTGAGATTGCACCACTGCACTCCAGCCTGGATGACAGAGTGAGACTTTGTCTCAAAAAAAGTTTAACACTAATTTTTTGAAAGTCAGAGGAAGTAGAATGTACCACAAGTAATAAGGAGAAACAAGATTGATTTCAGTGCTGCACAAAGGGCAAACCACCAATTCTGAAAGCAAATCACGTGAAGGGTTTTTTTGGGTTTTTTTTTAATACTTTAAGTTCTAGGGTACCTGTGCACAACATGCAGGTTTGATACCTAGGTATACATGTGCCATGTTGGTTTGCTGCACCCATGAACTCATCATTTACATTAGGTATTTCTCCTAATGCTTACCCTCCCCCAACCCCCCAGCCCCCAACAGGCCCCAGTGTGTGATGTTCCTCTTGAAGGGTTTTTTTAAATACCAGGTCAAAGCTAAAGATCAAGCTTTTCTTTCAAAACGCTTTGGCTAAAAGTAGGAGCTAATTTTCACATCTGCGAAGGTGGCTGAAGGACTCCAAGTCACGCCTTGGCAAGGGTGTGGCAGCTGGCTGAGGACTGCAGGTCCTTGTCAGGTGGAACCTGCTGGGTTCTGGGGAGTGGAGACTCAGATCTTGAGGTGGAAGCACAGACACGAGCTGGGCACACTTACCTGGATGTGGGGTTGGGAACGGTGAATCAGAGCCCAGTTAGATCCCGGAGGCCGGCAGCAGGCTCTGCAGAGGTGCAAGGGCACCTCATTCAGAACTCATTTCTTGGCCCTCTGTGACTAAAACCAGCTCCAAGCAGGACTTTTTATGGCTGGAGTTGCCTCCAAAGGGGCGTTGGCCTCCACTCAGGTGTGACTCTGAGCGTTGCCTAGCTGAAAAGGTGTGACGACAGGGAGCACACGTGAGGCCATTCGGGAAGAATATTTTGCCAAGTGCAGAGGCCGTAAAAATGTGGAACAGGGCTCTGTTTTTTACGCTGTATTGAAAATGATCATCAGGGCCGGGCGTGGTGGCTCAAGCCTGTAATCGCAGCACTTTGGGAGGCCGAGACGGGCGGATCACGAGGTCAGGAGATCGAGACCATCCTGGCTAACAGGGTGAAACCCCGTCTCTACTAAAAAATACAAAAAACTAGCCGGGCAAGGTGGCGGGCGTCTGTAGTCCCAGCTACTCGGGAGGCTGAGGCAGGAGAATGGCGTAAACCTGGGAGGCGGAGCTTGCAGTGAGCTGAGATCCGGCCACTGCACTCCAGCCTGGGCAACAGAGCAGGACTCCGTCTCAAAAAAGAAAAAAAGAAAATGATCATCAGAAGCAGAAACTGGGCTTGTGTTCAGAACCTGAAAATCTGCAGGGCGGAAAAAGAGGACAAAGGCATCTTTTAGGGACTACAAAACTAAACCTCAACAGAAAGATGCCTGAAGAGACAGGTGGATTATGACCTCAGAATTGGAGATAGGAGACGTTTTCAGAATTAAAGATCATCTACGGGCCGGGCGCGGTGGCTCAAGCCTGTAATCCCAGCACTTTGGGAGGCCGAGACGGGCGGATCATGAGGTCAGGAGATCGAGACCATCCTGGCTAACACGGTGAAAGCCCGTCTCTACTAAAAAGTACAAAAAACTAGCCGGGCGAGGTGGCGAGCGCCTGTAGTCCCAGCTACTCGGGAGGCTGAGCCAGGAGAATGGCGTAAACCCGGGAGGCGGAGCTTGCAGTGAGCAGAGATCCGGCCACCGCACCCCAGCCTGGGTGACAGAGCGAGACTCCGTCTCAAAAAAAAAAAAAAAAAAAGATCATCTACGGCTACACAAACATTTGAGAGGTATTTTCATTTAAACATCCCTTTCTTCCCACCAATATCACGAATTATATGCTATGCACAACCTATAACAGAGTATAGCAGAGTTGCCAATGGTTTAAAGTGCTGCATATATGATTGTTATATAAGGTAAATAAGATTCTTTGACCCCCAGAGTTAAGAAAATGGAAATAATAATTGCTAAGGCATATTAAGAATTATATATGTGGCCGGGCGTGGTGGCTCACTCCTGTAATCCCAGCACTTTGGGAGGCCGAGGCAGGTGGATCACCTGAGGTCAGGAGTTTGCGACCAGCCTGACCCACATGGAGAAACCCCGTCCCTACTAAAAATACAAAATAAGCCAGGCATGGGGGTGCATGCCTGTAATCCCAGCTACTTGGGAGGCTGAGGCAGGAGAACCGCTTCAACCCGGGAGGCGGAGGTTGTGGTGAGCCGAGATCGTGCCATTGCACTCCAGCGTGGGCAACAGAGCGAAACTCTGTCTCAAAATAAATAAATAAATAAATAAATATATATATATGTATGTGTGTCTATATATATATGCACACACACAAACATTTAATCCTTACAGCAATACATACCTATAAATGAGTGTGTGTATATATATATATATGGGTGTGTGTGCATATATATATATATATGCATTTAATCCTTACAGCAATCTTATCAGGTAGGGACTATTGCAGTCCCCCCTTGAGAGAGGAGTACCCTGAAGCACCTGGCAGTTAGGTAACTTGCCCAAGGTCACACAGCTAGTAACAAGCATAGCATGGCCTTGCAGGCCCAGGTGGGTTCCACCACACTGCTTTCCCTGGCAGCAAGGAAACGGAAGGTTTTTGAAGTAGTAGGGGAGCCACCGGGCACAAGGAAGCAGATCCCTGGAGGAAGGCACAATTAGCAAAGGTGGAGCCCAGGAATAGACGTTACCAGGCATAAGTGATTTTTCCAGACACTGGGAGCTTGTGTTTTGAATCACCAAAGTATTTTTAGGAAGCAGAAAAGTTAGCTCTTTCATTGAACTGCTATGTGGTTTTGAAGAAAATGTCTTAATATCCATGAAACTCAAAGCTTTAATCTGCAAGAAGGAAGAAATGCCATGTGTCTCCTACTAAGTTTCTTTTCCAAGTTAAGTTTTTTTGTGTGTGTATGTATGAAATAATATATGTGAAAAATTTTTTTGAGACAGAGTCTCACTCTGTTGCCCAGGCTGGCGTGCAGTGGTGCAGTCTTGGCTCACTGCAGCCTCTGCCTCCCAGGTTCAAGCAATTCTCTGCCTCAGCCTCCCTAGTATCTGGGATTACAGGCACCTGCCACCACGCCTGGCTAATTTTTTTGTATTTTTAGTAGAGACGGGGTTTCACCATCTTGGCCAGGCTGGTCTTGAACTCCTGACCTCATGATCTACCTGCCTCAGGCTTCCAAGTGCTGGGATTACAGGTGTGAGCCACTGTGCATGGCTGAAAATATTTTTAAAACTATAAAGAAACCGTACAATCACACAGCATAAATAATTTTCTTTTTTCTTTCATTTTTTTTTTTTTTTCTTTTTTTCTGAGAAGGAGTTTCACTCTTATTGCCCAGGCTGGAGCGCAGTGGCATGATCTCGGCTCACCACAACCTCCACCTCCTGGGTTCAAGGGATTTCCTGCCTCAGCCTCCTGAGTAGCTGGGATTACAGGCATGCGCCACCACACCTAGCTAATTTTTTTTTTTTTTTTTTTTTTTTAGT